TTCTGGCAGTTTTCGCTGTAACAAGCACAAATTGGAACTGTACTGGATTCTATGACGGAAATCTTGTATCATCAATGGCTTTTGCCCGTGAAGCCGCTTTAGTGAGTGGATCGGCCGGATCACCACCCTGGATATCAGCGTGGAGATTGTAATCGTCGTCTAGCATTTCTTTTGCACGAACATACCTGCAATAAGGCAAAAGTTAGATTATTAGATGAGTAATACGAGTAGGACTAAAACTCAGCTTATAATCTTTTGAGTTCGGAAAATTGGCGCTATTTACCCTTTCCTGCCCTAGTCATCCGGAATAGGGCCAGTTTGTGATCGACTTTTTTTTTTCTTGGATAGACTTGGCTCAAATGTTGTTCCGAGATAGTTTGAGGTTTTGAATACGAGTATCACATTTGATTGGCTTGAAACCTCTCAACGCCCGCGCCTTTGCCGCCTGCGATTTGGGGTATTTTGGCGCTGGCTTCGTTTCTCGAGCACCAGGAGGTTTTGTGCCGAACGGATGTGGTATTCGTGTTCACGATGTCAAACTACTCCTGAAGATATGTTCAAGCGACTTTGGTAGTCTAGGGTAAATTGGCGCGGGCGCCAAGAACTTTGGTCCCGAGTGGGTGCGCTCACAGAGAAAAAAGTCGGCCAATATTTGGCCGTATTCCGGATGATTGGGGCAGTAAAGGGTAAACAGTGCCGGAAAATTATGGGTAACATCTTGGATTGACATGGAGACATGGCAGTGATGGAACTAAAAGTGGGTAGTAATATCCCTAGGTGGATCCTTAGGTATTTGTGGTTCTCTCGCGAGACCATAACTGTGGCCACGCCCCCATCTACTGTCGATCCGTTGGCTGATCGAGCTGATCAGTCAGTGGAGTTTTGCCGAGTTCACGGAAGGTGAGCGGTCTCTCCCAGAATGGGAGAGGAATGTCGTCGCGAACTGTGTGAGGGACTCTACGCGGTAGAGGGCTACCCTGGCTCAAGAGAAGTGTCGCGACTGCATGCAAGCTTCATTCTCTTCACAGGTAAAGAGAGGGCTCCTCTCTATATGGAAAGTGATGTGCAGTAGTGCGTACGATACGGCTACAGATGCACATTGGCTTAGGCGTAAACCAGCGGAACTGTCGCTCTCTTTTTGGCTTGACAAATGGGAGAGGATGGTTGGACATCTTTGTTCGAATTACGGAAGCTTTCCAACATCCTAGATGGCAGGAAAATTGGGGATAATACCCTCTCCCTTTGTAAGGCTGAGTATCAGTAGGGGCTTGGATTCTGGCTCATTACTACTGGGTCTGCCATCCAGTAATTCGCACATATATTGTTTGATAAAGGTAGCCGATGGGGCGCGCAATCCTTACCGGAAAACTCGTCCAGGTCGATTCACTTCCTGATTGATGGTTATATTTCTTGCAAATGTTGAAGAAAAGCTACCCTGGTTCCTTCAAGGCGCACGCCCCTAATGAGTCCTGAGATAAGCCAATAGCCCCCGTGAGCCCGATTATGCGTACCAGCATTCTGGAAGGGTGGGCCCAGCGAGGGGGTCACGGTCGCTGGAGGGAAGGAACCTCTACTTTCCTAGCCATTCAAAATGCTGGCGTCACTCAGAATACAGATTGTTTCTCCAGCAGAGTTGTTATGAAAAGACTAAATGATCCTGGTGAGCCGATAGACTCCAATGTCCATAAAGGTCTACAAACCTGGTCACATATTCCCTGCCATGAGCGCCTTTGCTGGAATAGTTTGACATCATCGGCGTAGCATGTTCATAAATATCCGGTCGCCATTTCCTCATTAAGTAGATCCATGCCGTTGTCTCCAAGTTGTTTGACATCAAAATCTGAAGGGATTTTTATTGATTCAGAAAGGGAAGATAAAAGAGGAGACTTGCATTTGTATGCTCCTAGCTTTCTTTTCAAGGATAGTTCATGAAATATGACTATTATAACGCTCTGTACTACGTGTAAGCAATGGTCATCA